CTGAGCTCAGTCAACGAACGATGCCGAGGAATCTTTGGCAAATATATGAAACCACTGCCAGTTTTATGAAGCCATCGCTCGGCATCAATAAACACTACATCCGGATCTCTGGCAGAGTCGCCAAATAAAAAGTCGGTCTTCCTGAGAGGCTGAATCGAACTGGCATCCTTCACGAGGGGCACATCTGTAATCAACTGGTGAAGAGCTTGATGTCCACCTTCCTTCACCACTTGGGCAACCTATGTCGACGTGCCCGAAGCAAACTGAGGAGTGACTGGGATAGGGGAAAAATCGTCAGAAGTCGAATAATACTCGCCACGACGCCCGCACACTGCGTGAGATGAAAACGCCCCAGAAGGATACTCCACTGGAAGCAAAAATTCTCGATTATAAAAGGAAATTGAACTCATCTTACAAATAGCTAAGATAGAGTCATTGCCTTATAAAGGGTGAGACGATTTGGCCACATTATGCACTTATAAGATAGGGTATATCGACTATATATCCCTGCCTTATAAGGCACAATGCAGCGTCAAAACGCCTCCTTTATTGATTTTGAGATATGGTTTTGACCGAGCAAAACATATCTTTAAAGCGTCGATCCTCACCAAGGAGAATCAAGGCTCTTCCCGATTGCCTCACCAAGGAGAACAAAATGGGGATAAAAAGGACCAATTTGTAAATTTCCAAGAAAAAATGGACTAAATTGTAAATTTCTAAAAATAGCTCACCAGCATAAGAGGGAGGCACACCATCAGCCGACGCGGTAGAGGATTGACCTCTCGCAATACGAGACATAGAGACCTGCAAAATAAGTTAAGGGATCAGATCCAGGAAAAAGTTCCTCTTTTTTGCAATTCTCCCCCCCCCCCCCCCTCTAACCCTCACATGCGATCCCACAAATTCATAAATTGAATTAAGCATAAAAAATGCTAAAATGGTTGAGGATTTACCTGAGAGAAAGCTCGTGGATCCAATAAAAATCAGATCTTGAAAGAGACTCAAAACACGCGTTCGAGGGGCCTGAGAGAAATTCTAAATATGGAAATTTTGAGGGATTTCTCAGTCAAAGATCAAAGGGAAGGAAGAATCTAAGACAAATATGAAGATTTGAGGAAGAACGGATGCATGAGGGAAGAGAAATCGAAAAATAGGGGAGAGAGGGGGCCGGCCCTAATGAGGAGAAAAAGACCTCTTTTTATAATGTTGAACCAAGCCTAGTTGAACCGGACCAGACCAAGTTGAACCAAACCAGACCTGGTTTAAACCAAAATTCAAATTGAAGTTGAATCGAGCATCAAAACAACTTCAAATCGACCGAGGGTTCAACCATTTGTTTATGCTTGCCTCTCCCACACATTCGGAAGAGTCGGAAGATTTTTTGAGCCGAATTACTGCCTTTTTGGCTCATTATCAGACCGGTTCAGCTCATTCGGGCACAGAAGTTACTCCGAAAAGTATACGAGTATAAACTGTTTCTTAATACTCCAATAAGGTATATGAGTATAAACTATTCCCTATTTTTGGTTGAGAAGTTCCTGGAGAATATTTTTATAAATATTCTTAAGGATAACTCAACAACACTACGCCGGACAACGCGTCGCAAATAAAGACTCAACGCCAACAATCGATGGTCAGTTCTATGTTGAACCAACCAACACGAGCTAAAGATTAGAAAATCAGGAATCGACTTCAAGTTTAAAATTCCGACAACGGTCAGAAAATAAATGCAGCACTGGAACTCTTACAGGCATTCGACAAAGCACCGAATAGTCTGGAGGATTGAAGGAATCAAGAACAGAAGCCATTCCAAGGTCCCGTTACACCGACTGAAGGTTGGGACAATCATATCCAAAGTATTCCAGACTCTTCTATAAAAGAACGAGGCTGAAATACTTTGGAGGGGGTATCTGTAGGCGTATAAAATTGCTTATAGGTCCCTTAGCACAGCTCGGCACAAACCGACGAACCAACGAGGCGACGAGCCACTCGCGTGCGGAATCAAGCCAAGTGTTCGAAGAGTCAACGAGTCATCCAACCAAGGGCAGACTCGGACGAATCATGATCGAATCAAGATCAGTTTCGGACTCGAACTCAGAAGTGGATTTACTGCCAACTCAGGAAGTGGATTTACTGCCAAATCAGATCAACAAATCATAGTCTAAGTCAACCGAATCACGGACTGAACCGAAAATATTATCCTAACCAAATATCTAAAAGAAACATCTAAAAAGATAAACTCTCAAGCTGCAAATCCCTATCAACTAAAATAAAATCTTCTAAATAAAATCCAAACTAAATTACCAAATAAAATCAACTCAATCTTAACTTGCTCTGCATCAAATCTCCCCTTGTAGGTCGAGTTTTATAAAGAGAGTATAAAAATTCTTCAATTAGTGGGTAATATTTTTGTATGCACTGCGGGATCTTTAAAATTATCTGCATAACTCGAGAACGTGTAGGTGGCGCAAGATTTGGAATGACAAACTCTATTAGCGAATTACCATAGAGTGGAAGTATCTCGAACTGCACTTTAACTTAGAACTCGGGCTTTAGGTTTGATTCAAGCTCGGCCTTTGGGTCAACCTTGTGCTCAGTCTTTGGTTCAAGCTCGAGTTGAAGTTTGTGCTCTGAATTTATCTTCTGATTTTCTTCTTTTCTGGATCTTGTTCAGATTCGAGCACTGGATTAGGTTCATGATCTGATTTTGATTCCAAATCTAGTTCAGGTTCTACTATCGGTTTTGGTGTCGACTCCGATTTTAAATCTAGATTTGACTTGGCTTCATATTGTAGATCCCCATCTAATTGGGTCAACGATACTTTTGTCTCGAGCTTTGAAGAAAAATAGTAACATTTTTCTAGTTCTAGTTGGATAACTAGAATTACTCCTTTCAAGCAGAACTTTATCGGTGCCCATGAACGTATATGGCTGATGACTAGAATGATTGTGACTAAAACAACTAAATCTTGAGCTTCTCCTTCTAGCCTAAATTTAGCTTACATATACATCTGCCAATCCAAAAAATCATAAATAGAAAATAAATCTTCTAAGTCTTGCATCCAGAGCTCAAAATCATATTTCTCTTCATATCCATCAAACCCATAAAAGTAAGATACATTGCCAAATTTCAAATGATTAAATTCAAGTTGTTGTGATGAAGTGGATGTTTATCCATGATTATCGTGGACCACTAAACTTCCCCGATACCAAATGATGTGAAATGGAGGTGAAGATGCACAACACCGTGTGAGCAGTAACGCTTGAATAGTGTCAATGAACAGTATTTTTAAAATAAATTCGGAATTAAAAATAAATAAATAGACTAAACCGGGTTCACTCACGACATCTAACCTTTGAAAATAATATAAAAGGTCGGCTTCACACAAGGACCTAATCAAAAAAACATGGCTTTACACATGGAATCACTCGAAAGTATCACTCAAAAGTCATAATTTTTATTCATATCAATTCTCCATCTCAAAAATGACACATTACAATCCTTTTTAGCAAAAAATAAATCAAAATTCTAATTGATAGATCCAATCAAATCCAATAAAATGACAAGATAGTAAATCCAACCAAATAACTAATCCAATCCTATCCAAATATTTAAAGATCATATCCTAAAAATCCTAACTACTCTAATCTTCCAAATGTCATACATCAGATGTTCTCTCCAGTAAACACAATTCTCAATAGTCATTACAGGTATATCTAAATTCTTTCGCTTAATCCACTCTTCATTTTTAATTTTTAAAAGATCAGTAGGCTGGTGAGTCATTACTAAAACATGATTCATGCATGAAAACACCAAAAATTAGGTAATAAGCTAACCTACTATTGTTGTAACGCCATACAATCAAAAGATAATTATTTCTAAGGCTTTTTCCCCTAGAAAACACCTTTAAAATAGGGCCATCATATAGAAGAAACCACATCTGAATGTCAATCAATATATAAACTGCATTTAAAGTAGGTTTGTGTTGCAATCAACCGCCTTTCAAACATGAATGTGAATGTCAACGAAGGGAAATAAGGCCAACTATAAATCCACTTGATTGGTTCATCATGGAGTTTCTCCAAAATTTGAGGCTTTTTTATGATTAAGTGGTCATTCATACATCATCATCTAAGGCAATAAAAAATTGGCCTTTGCAATTTAATAATAAATGACTATTTTAGCAAATCAATCACTAAAATTTTTCATCTTTTGCAATAGTCAAGAAAACCTTTTATGATAATAGTGTTAATATGATTCACCACGTCTGTTACAAGAATGGATGCATGGGTTACTGCATCAAGATATTCGTAAGTGATTACATTGCTTGAGTTTACTGTAGAAGCTTAACTACTACCACCGCAAAAATCATATATTGCTCCCAATAAAGTGCACAGGCACAAGAAACTTCTCAAACGGCCTCCAACAGAATGATTGACTATACTTGAATGCTATTGTAAATGGAAGTTTTCATTCTTAAAAGATGGCCATTTGTATTTGTTGTTTTACCCAGAATAGCACAAGGACCTAAAGTTGATGATTTCGCATACTGGTTAGCCTGTAGGAACCAGTGATCATTATTCCTTATGCTACTATTTCTTTTAACTTCATTTTTGAGATAGTCTAGGGAGAAATAAACAAGTTGGCCTTTATGAGGCATGGGCAGGAGTAAGCATCCTGTGTGCTCTAGCAGACATTGGCTGCTAGTCAGCTGCGTGTGTTGTCTCTCTGTGTGTGTTATTCAGGACATTACTCCTTTTCTCATTTTAGAACAAATCTTTAGATAAAAGATTGTCTAATACAATAGTGATATGCACCAACATAGTGTTATGTCTTCGTAAAACAATATAGGCCATGTGAAAAGGATGGATGTGAAACATCAATCTATAATAATGAAAAACCGATCTGAGTTTTAGCTTATTAGTGGAACTTCAAATTAAATGCCCCGAGCAATAGCATCAAACGTTGAAAGAATTCTGTTAAAAATATAAAAGGTTAACTAGCCAACCTTAGGAAGTCTGAACCAACAAGGCTGGCCTCTCCTTGTGTGGGAATTATCCATGATATCATCGACTACGAGAAAGTATGCTTGCAACTGCATATATCATCAATGAAAGAATCTCAAAGTGGGAAGCAAACCATGAAATGCAACTATTATAATTTAATTGCTTAGAGGAAGATGCTTATAACTAAGAACGTGAAAGGTGATTGTTTACCCATTCAATGCACCAACCAAGGACACTTGAAAGAAAGAATTCATCGTCAGTGAGTTGGCTTCCTTCTTTCAACAATTTGTAGCTATCAACGACAGAGATACCACGGTTTAGCTTTCCTGCAAACATATTATCTCCATGTCAAAATGGTTCATGAATAAGCACTGGGGCTTAATTTAATAACTATAAAAAATCAAAAATTGTGAACCCTCGCACATGATGTGTCCAGCATTAAGAAATGCAGGCTGGGTACGTTACTCAATTTGATAGCATATGATCAACTTATAAGCAGATAGCTGCTCACCTCCAGGTACATTATAGTCCAGCATCTGCCACAAAAGCAACCATGACAACAAAAGATTATTGGGTCATCCAAATATGAGAGGTTAATGAGTTATATAGCAATTACAAAATGTCAAACGATCTTATAAAAAACACATAATGATGAAAAATATCATATACAGTTCACAGCGTTTCAATCCAAGTATAACTGACTTGATTGAATAAATACTTTCCAAGAGATTCTACTTATTGGATAGAACGGTCATGACCACTTCCGACATTATTAGAGCATATCTAACTGTTACAGGAAGAAGGCGAAATTCCACCGCTTTAAAAGCCCATGAAATTTTCTTTAAGTCGTAACCGAAAATTGACATTTGAGTTATTCGATTTTCAAAGACCAAAAGCAACGCAAGCATTCACGACGATACGCGAGCAAGATCCAAGAGATCCGACGATTTTTAGAGTACTGCTGCTCACCCGATCGATCCATTGGCGGGAGTCGTCGGTGTAATCCAAGGCGGGATCCTCGAGGATCTCCGATTTGAGGCGGGCGTATATCTCGACGAACCTCGACTTGGTATCGACCGCGCTCCCGTTCGAATCCGCCATTGATGGATCCCGATAGAGAGGGAGAGAGTAGCGAGTGAGGGGATGAAATCTCAGATCTCGTCTCTTATATATGATTATTGTTTGATCCCATTGCCAGTCAAGTGGACAGGATTCAGGTATCGAGCCTCGATACAGATTGAGAGAGGACCCGACAGGGTGATGTGGGGTAAGCAACGGCATCCCCACCGCTGAGGGGGCAAATTTGTAAAGTGCTAAATGTTTAAGAACTGATGCTGTAATAAATAAATTATTCTCGCGTGGCTCTCGTGGCAATTAATAATTTTTTTAGGGAGAAGAGTTTCTAGAGGGAGATGCGTGCACGTGATGTAGGCAAGTGGAATTATGTGAACTGCTGGGTGTAACAGTGGGGCCTCCCCGTCAAGTGGAAGTTCAGCGGTCCTTTTTTCCCGTCATCGTGAGATAAGATTCGGAGCGCTATGGGAAATTATTGAATATGCGTCTCAAGATTCTCAAAAATAACTTCTCTAAACATTAGCTTCAACATGTGAAGAGTATTAAGATAAATAAAACTACAGCTACAAGGCCTAAGTGCGCCACATAAACATAATAATCATGAAGACTTCATGTCCCAAATAGCGACAACAGGAATTCAAAAAAGTTTGTCCTTACAATCTAGATATATGGTGAGAATCTAATTGCAACATGATACTCGCGCCAAAAAATAACTTCAAATATATAAACTTTTGATGGTATTCATTACCACATAATTGATCTATTGCAGCGGTTAAAGTGCAACAGTTTTAACTGTTGCGTTAGATATCTATCGTAACGGTTTACAGTGTCTAATACAACATTTAATGGAAAACGTTGTCATAGACCAAATAATTATTCCTGGGCTTAATAACAGTTAAGTTTGTAAAGCCCATTGACCGCTTACACAAAATCCTTCTCGCTCGCTCGCTCGCTCGCTCTCTCTCTCGCTCTCTCAAACAAAATCCCTAAAATCGCCGCCACCGCTGCCTAAAATCGCCGTGGACAAGATCTCATCTCCAATCTTGTCACGCCCCGCTTCCCAAAATACCCGGGAACCAGAATGTGAGCAAGCCCGCGATGTATTAGATTGAGAAGAAATATACACTATCATTTTTTCTTTCTTTTTCTTTTCTTCTCAATCCAATACGCTAAGCGTCTAGAAATAAATACAATGTGAAGTCACAGGTCCCCGATCACAATCAGCAAGAATACAATAGACAAACTCAGAATAAAATAACACATATCACAATGAATATTCATCCTACACATAATATTCAGGTCAACATGCCCTTATACAAAACTATCTGAATGAAATACTGGAAAATATAAAAACACACTGAACAAAAGGAAATGAAAGTGCTACAAAACAAACTGAAAGGAATGACTAAGCTTCAGCTTCTTCTTCTGCTACGTCTGCAAGGCACTCATGCTGAGAATCCTCTGGCTCCCGCTGAACCTGTTCTTCCTCTAAGTCTGACGTACACCAGAGAAAACAGGTGTACGTCAGGGCGCATGGCACACGACAAGACCCCACAAAAGAATAGAACGAACGAAAACCCAAGCGGAAAACGATACGATAACAGAAATGACAAAAGAACGTGCAACTGGAAATCCAACAAAATCAATCAAATAACAAGTCGATCATGCAACTAGCGATCAGAACAATCATCCAACTAACCAGGTCATACAACTAGATGAAATTAATACTTAAAAATCCACAACAAGAGACATAGAGCGAAATAATCCAAACAAGAAAACCCTCATGTATATACCATATGTCTCAAATTATAGATAAGTAAATATTAATCCCGATCTATGTATGAAAAGAAATACAACCGGCCTACATCTCACAAGAAGTCACACCTAGCCAAGAAACAAAGTCATGTAACTAGCCATCCTATAACAGGTCACTGGTCCACATCTCACACAGAGTCAATGCTCATATTACTGGATAACTGACTGTTCACAAATCCTCTACGCGCATCCAATACCGCTACACGAATCGGTCAGAAGACTACACGCAATCTGATCTTGGCCTGGTCCGAACTCAGGCAAAGCTCAGGTGACTACACAAATTCACTGACTAAAGTGACTACACGAATTCACTTTAGCCCAACAAACCAACCCCAGTGACTACACGAATTCACTGGCGCGAGCCTGGAAGATACATCAACAGTCTTATCTGATCACATAAACATGGACTTTCCCACCCCAACTCATCTTGCTTTTCTAAGTCAACAACACACAAGTCTCTAGGTCTTATTCATGTCACACAGGTCACTATAGTCATAAACTCCTAACGGTTCTCAATCACAACAAGGAACAATCAATGCAACTAATCATGTACAATAATATCATATCATATCAGATAATCAAGATTAAGAATTTGAATCATAAAATTGTTCTAAAATAATCTTCTGAAATAATAAATTTATTTACTTCAAAATAATTTCTTTTACAATTTAAATTCTTTTAATTTAATTTCAAAATAATCCTAATTTCTTCCACAAGATAATTTCTAAAAATTATTATAATTATTCTAAAATGATTCTTTTTCTAAAGATAATTCCTTTTAAATTATTATAATTTTCCTAAAATGATTTCGTTCTCAAATAAATTCTTTTTAATTGATATAATAATCTAAAAATAATTCTGCTGCTGAAATAGATTCTTTTAATTCATTATAATTATTCTGAAATGCTATTTATCATATTATTATGATTTATCTTAATATTATTCATCAAACAATCCCATGCAGATAAATATATCAGATCTAAAATTACAGATGATTCATAATAAATATAAAATTCAGTTCTGAGCAAGTGGGATCTTGCCTTGGGTATATCGTGGACCGTAGAGAGGGTCTAAATATAAAATTCAGTTCTGAGCAAGTGGGATCTTGCCTTGGGTATATCGTGGACCGTAGAGAGGGTCGTCGGGGTGGTTGCACAGCGTTACGATGGGTTTCGCGGAATCGACGGCTAAAATAACAATTAGAGTGTTAATGCGACGTGCGGTATTCGAACGAGTATAACGAGGTGTAGATAGGGACCCAAGTGAAAGGAATATACTGTATGATAGACAACATGAAGGGCTACGCACCGGCGAATGAATCGATGGGGACGAAGGTCGGAGTTGGCCGGAAAACGCGCGCGAAGTTGGCTCCGAACTGCAGTTTTCTGCAGTGAGCTCACTGATTCGAGCTCGTCTTCGCTGTTCGGAGATGCCGGGGAGGATGAAGTGCTTGGCCTGGGTTCGGGTCTGTCGAGCGGGCTGATGGCGAGACGGGTCGGGGAGGTTGACGATGGGGCGGCGAGGCTGGACATCAGCGAGCTTGGGCAGGCAGTGGGTTATGTCGAGGAGCTGACGGCAGAGACTAGGGGGTGGCGTCTGTAGTTTGTTAATCAGTCCGAATTGTTAGTTTGAGTCCAAGTGATTAGATAGAATTCTAGTTATGGTAGAATACTAGTTAGTGGATAGATTCCTAGTTATTGGATAAAGATTAGAGTTGTAATCTTATTCCTATATATATGTAAACAATCTTTGTAAGTAGTAGAACGTGAATACAAAGAAAATTTCCTGTAGAATTGTTCCTCTGCTCCTCTGTTCGTTCTCTCAAAAATTCAGCCAGGTTTCCTGCAGAACACGTCTCTGTTCCAGCTCCTCATCCCTCCTCAAAATCAGCCTAAACCCTCATTATTTACAGATTTGCATATAGCTTACAGGTTTGATACTTCAGGCCGATCCTATTACAAAGCCTACAAGTGGTATTAGAGCCGTGTATGCCTAAGATCCAACCAAGATCTGAAGAGATGACGAGTTCGGAGAAGATGACGACCAAGGTGGGTTCTCTCACTCTTCAATACCCGACGTTGTCGAGGGACAACTATGCTTTGTGGGCAATCAAGATGAAAGTCTACATGAAGGCTCAAGACGTGTGGGACGCCATTGAGCCCGCGGCAGGCGCGTCCGTGGAACACAGGAAGGATCAGATGGCATTGGCGGCCATCTACCAGGGGATTCCTGAAGAGACTTTGATGGTGATCGCAGAGAAGCAGACGGCAAAAGAGGCATGTGAGACGTTGAAAACAATGCACCTAGGAGCGGATCGTGTGAGGAACGCAAAGGTGCAGACCTTGAAGTCCGAGTTCGAACTTCTCCGGATGAAGGAGAATGATAACGTCGACGATTTTTCGACGAAATTAACAGGAGTCGTCAACAAGATCCGGGCTTTAGGCGGTGAGATGGAGGAGAACTACGTCGTCAGAAAGCTACTTCGGGCGGTACCGGAGAGATTTCTTACTATCATCTCCACGATTGAACAGTTCGGGGACATCGACGGCATGACACTGGAGGAGGCGATCGGGCATCTCAAAGTCCACGAGGAGAGGGCACGTGTTTTTTGAAACAACGTCGACGATAACCTATTGTTGACGCATGCGGAGTGGCAAGCAAGGAGCAAGAAGAACGGCGGAGGCTTCCTCTCAACATATACAACAAATGATGGTAGCGGACGAGGTCGCGGTCGAGGAGCCGGTCGCGGGCGTGGCCGTGGCCAAAGAGGCCGAGGCGGACAGCAGTACCACGGCAGCGGGCAGCAGCACCACGCTGCCCAAGCAGGCCGCGGAGGGGAGCACGGCGGCCAGGCAGGCCGAGGCGGCTTCGGCGGCAGAGGAGGACGTCCAGGAGGTGGTTTCGGCCATGGAGGTGCAGCTCGCCAGGAGGGGGAGAGTAGCACAAGCGGTGGTCGAGACAAATCCAACATCAAATGCTTCAATTGCGGAGTATATGGTCACTTTCAGTCGGAGTGTCACAAGCAACGCCGCAATCATGAACAGGAGGCTCATCTCACCCGTGCATATGACGAGGAGCCAACCTTGATGATGACTGTTTTAGAGGAATCATCAACTGTCATCCTACTCAATGAGGAGAAGGTGCTGCCAAACTTACTCACAGCGGGGGAGGCACAAGTTGCCAACGACGTTTGGTACCTTGACAACGGAGCTAGCAATCACATGACCGGCCACCGAGGCAAGTTCAAGGAGCTCGACGAGAACATTACAGGAACCGTCAAGTTTGGTGATGGATCCGCGGTAGAGATCAAGGGGAAAGGCTCTATTCTCTTTCAGTGCAACAACGGCGATCAAAGGCTACTACCAGAGGTATATTATATTCCGAGTTTGAAATCTAACATTATTAGCCTTGGTCAGATGACTGAAGATGGGAGTAAGGTTGTTATTGCTGACGAGTTCCTGAGGGTGTTTGATAGGAACGGTGCTCTCTTGATGAGGGTGACACGTTCAACTAACTGTTTGTACAGCATAGAGTTAAAGACTTGCAGGCCGGCGTGTTTGATGGCGAACATTAACGATCCAGCTTGGTTATGGCATGCTCGCCTTAGGCATGTTAATTTTTTCGCCCTCAAGATGATGACTGATAAGAAGATGGCTTCCGGGTTGCCGAAGATCTTGCACCCGAATCAACTATGCGAAGGATGCCTCGTCGCCAAGCAAGCAAGACTGTCGTTCCCTTTGCAAGCAAATTTCAGAGCTCAGAAGCCGCTGGAGTTACTACATGCTGATCTATGTGGCCCAATCACTCTATCTACACTTGCTGGGAACAACTACTTCCTTCTTGTCGTTGATGATTTCAGCCGATGGATGTGGGTTTACATGTTGAAGGCCAAGAGTCAAGCTTGTGAAATCTTCAAGAAGTTCAAAATAGAGGTTGAGAACGCATGTGACCACAAGGTGAAGACATTGAGGACGGATCGCGATAGCGAGTTTTTGTCAAAGGAGTTCACCAAGTTATGTGAAGACTACGGCATCAAGCGTCATCTCACAGCACCGTACACCCCGCAGCAAAACGGTGTAGTGGAGAGGCGTAACCGCACGGTGATGGACATGGCGAGAAGCTTACTTAAAAGCATGCATATGCCTGGAACAATGTGGGATGAAGCGGTCAGGCATGCGGTGTACATCCTCAACCGACTACCAACCAAGACGTTGTATGACCACACACCTTACGAAGCTTGGTTTGGTAAGAAACCCCACCTAGAACACTTGAGAGTTTTTGGATGTGTGGCGCATGTGAAAATTGCAGGCCCTTCTCATAAGAAACTCGACGACCGGAGCACGCCAATGGTGTATATTGGGGTAGAGGAAGGAAGCAAAGTGCATCGCCTTTACGACCCTCAACATGGCAAAATACGTGTCAGCAGGGATATCGTGTTCGAGGAAGGAAAAGAATGGCAATGGAGCACAAACGGAGATGAGAAAGCACCCAGCTGGATGGACTTAACAGTGGAAGGCGAAACTGCAGCGGGCGGCACAACAG